AAAAAAAAAAAAGTTTATTTAAAATAGCCAATACATACCAAACTCTGAAAAATGAAAATAATAAGCACCTGTTGTTTTCTTAAACCACATTTATGCTAATTTTGGCAAATAACCCGGTTTCACTGTAAAGATACTATATTAAGAATGTTTTTAAGCCGGGCACAGTAGCGCATGCCTGTAAATCCCAGTGTCTCAGGAGGCTAAGGCAGGAAGATCGTGAGTTCAAAGCCTGCCTCAGCAAAAAGGAGGTGCTCAGCAACTCACTGAGACCCTGTCTCTAAATTAAATATAAAATAGAGCTGGGGATGTGGCTCAGTGGTTGAGTGCCATTCTGAGTTCAATCCCCAGTACCAAAAAAAAAAAAAAAGAATGTTTTTAAGACTTCCAGGTAATGGAAAAATAGCAATCAATGAAAAAGGAGAAATAAACTCTTTAAGAAATGTTGAACAATCAGAAAAATATGCTGTGCAAATTATGAAAAACAAAGCTCTTCTAAGACAAGGAGGTGGTGGACAATGGAGAGCAGGTATCAGAATCACATGGGGAGCTTTTCTCACGATACCCAGGTCTATACCAGCCTCCATCAAGTCACGATTTTCCAAAGTGAATAAATGTGAGTATATGAAATCCCCAGGTAGTTATGATACCAAGTTCTTTCAACCCTTCCCACTGTCATTCGAGAATAAATAAATATACCATTGATATTTTTCTTTTTTTGGTACCAGGGATTGAACTCAGGGGCACTTAACCACTGAGCCACATCCCAAACCATATTTTGGATTTTATTTACAGACAGGCTCTCACTGAGTTTCTCAGTGCCTCGCATTGCTGAGGCTGGCTTTGAACTTGCAATCCTTCTGTCTCAGCCTTCCGAGCCCCTAGGATTACAGGCGTGTGCTACAACACTCAGCAAAATTTACCAGTGATATTAACAGAGGAAGATACTTTAAAAGTATAAAATTATTTGTTCTTAGACAAGGCAGGAATATGAATATGACCTGCTGACTAGAATTGAGACATGGATATAATTACCAATGGAACCACTTTAAAGGAAGGAAAAAAGGAGAAGGAAATATGATTCAAGAAAAATTTTTTTGGCTTCCTTGAAAAATAACTCAGAAAAGTGAAAGAAAAAAAGGCCATCAACAAATACATAATGTTTGTGTATATCACACTGATCTATTCTAAAGTGGCTAAACCAAGAGAAATCACAGTTGTTGCCACACAACATAACAAGACACACAACATTTACTAACACTTTCGTGTATTTTCAAGAACTTGTTATTTATGTTGGGAAGATAACAGTATGAATAAATTGAGACAACAGAAAGACCATGGGAAGAAAAAGGGGATAAGAAAATGAGAGGGAGAGACATTTGATTGAAGGAAGTTTAGAAAGCACAGTGTAACCCAGGATCTTTACAGACGGTCAATCTACAATCTGTTCAACATGCTCTCTATGGGTGGCACTGAGAGAAGCAGGATAGGGATGAGCCAGGTACGGGGCAAGGTGAACCAAAGTCCTCACTGCTTTGCTGTCCAGTTAATAAATCTATTAGTACTTTTGCTACTGAATCAACCCAGTCTCAAAATTCTATTAGAGATATTCCCAAGGGCAGACTGCCCCAAAAGTCAAAGAAAGATGTTACAAGTAGACAATGCAGTCCAAAAAAAAGAAAAAGAAAAAAGAACCCAAAATCAGATTTTGGTGTAGTGCTGGTGCAGTGGCAGTGGTGCATTCCTATAATCCCAGTGGCTTGGGAGGCTGAGGCAGGAGGATCACAAGTTCAAAGCCAGCCTCAGCAATTTGGTGAGGCCCTAAGCAACTCAGTGAGACCCTGTCTCTAAATAAATACAAAAAGGGTCTGAGGATGTGGCTCCAGTGGTCAAGTACCTCTGGGTTCAATCCCAGGTATTTAAAAAAAAAAAAAAATTGGTGCAGGGAATTTAATCGATAACATCAGAATTCAGGAAATAAAAGTCATTAGGGCTGGGGCTCAGAGATAGAGTGCTTTCTTAGCATATGCAGGGCACTGGGTTCCATCCACAGCACCGCATAAAAAATAAAATAAAGGTACTGTGTCCAACTACAACTAAAAAACAAAATACTTTTTATAAAAATCATTAATGCTGTTGTATATTAATATTTTATATATATAAATATAAAATATAAATACATATATATATATTTTTTTGGGGGGGGTGGGGAGCAGTACTGGAGATTGAACCCAGGGCTTTACATACACTAGGCAAGTGCTCCACCTCTAAGTCACATCCTTAGCCTTTTTACTTTGAGGCAGGGACTTTCTAAGTTCCCTAGGCTGTCCTTGAACTTGCGAGTCTCCAAGTAGCTGGAAGTATAGACAAGTGCCACTACTTCACTATGAAGTGCTTCCTGGAAACCCAGCACTAGGGTGATTTACAGGTATCACCATCACAATGAACCAACACCACCACCCCATGAAGCAGATAGCTACTTTCCATCTATTACAAATAAGAGAACTGCAGCATGCAGAAAAGAAGTAATTTGTCCAAGGGACTGAGGTTGTGGCTCAGTGGTAGACACCTGCTTAGCACAAGCAAGGTGCTGTATTTGATCCTCAGCACCATATAAAAATAAATAAAATGAAGGTATTGTGTCCAATTAGAACTAAAAAAAAAAAAAATGTACACACACACACACGTATATGTGTATGTATGTATCTATCTATCTATCTTAAAAAAAAAAAAAAGTAATTTTTCCAAAGTTACACAGCTTGAATTGAGTACAGGGCAGAAGTGATATCACCAGATGTGATATCAAAACTCAAGCTGGACAATAATCAAATTTGTGCAATCACTTAAAATACAAGGTATCTGGGGACCCAAAGGGGTAACAACAAGGTGCCTAGAGTAAAATTTTAAATGTGTAATTACACAGGAAAGAATCTCAGCAATGCTCCTGAGCAGGTACAGGTAGAAGCATATAATGCTCATTTATATACTGATGGTAAGCTGAAGAGTTTAGGATCAAGAACATAATTAAAAGAAACATTATTGATAAGCTGAAGAGATGCACATGGGAATTTAATCAAGATAAAATCAGCTTGATTCTTTCATGTTTACACAGAAAATATTCTAAGCAGAAGAGAGGGAGTAGAGGTTCATCCAATACTCTTAAATTTCCAAGAATACTTCTCCCTTATCTGTGGGTTGGCTAGGCTGCCAGCAACATTATCTTTCTTGACAGTTCACATAGATAAGGCAAAACAGGGGTTTGAGTCTAACTATCAGAGCCCCCATCCAAAAGGATATACATAGGACCTATTATGCATAGGAAACAGAGCTACTTTGCTATCAGGAACCTTTAAAGGGGCCATAAAACGGAACACAACCAGGGATCCCTACATATAACATAAACATAAAGTCATATATTCCAAGCTCCAAGGTTCTGGATCTCAGACTTCTAAATTAAGACAGTCTCATACACGTGACTCTTCTTCCCCCAACTTGCAGGCCTACACAAACATGTGCTCTGCCTTGAAAATACAGATGTCACCATCCAAAAGAGAATGATGATGCAACCGTCTGTACAGGTAGGTCCTTTACATTATATAAGGGGAGCAACTGAAGACAATAATGACAGAACTAAAAAAGGCAAGTGGAGCCAGATGATGTCCACCACTTCCCAATCCCCAATCACAGAATAAAGATTTACAGACTAGCCGGGCGCGGTGGCACAAGCCTGTAATCCAAGCAGCTCGGGAGGCTGTGGCAGGAGGACTGCAAGTTCAAAGCCAGCCTCAGCAAAAGTGAGGCACTAAGCAACTCAATGAGACCCTGTCTCTAAATAAAATACAAAATAAGTCTGGGGATGGGGCTCAGTGGTCGAGTGCCCGTGAGTTCAGTCTCTGGTACTCTCCCCTCCCCACCTTCCAAAAGATTTATAGACTATCCATGAAAAGTAGAACTGAAGAGTCAGACTTAAATGGCATTCTATTATAAATTCTTCAAAAATAAGGAAGGATCACTTTTACAGTAAGTATTAGGAAAATAAGCCATGCTTTCATAATAAAGGACAGTTATAAGAAAGGAAGTTTCCTGGAAGCACAATTAATTAGAAAATTAATTGAGATTTGGAAAGCTGGCAAGGACAGTAAGTTAAACTCCATTTATTTGACACAGAGTCAGAGGATTTAAAGTGGATGATTAAATAATGAAAAGCATTGTTCCTCTAAGAATGCAGACACATGCGGCAAACACTAAAGGTGTAATAATAAGCAAAAAATGAGACAAGCTGATAATCTACTATGTGGGTTTCAAGAGACAACTAAGAAGAGGGAAGTTTCTAATAATGCTCAAGGTTACAATCATAGAAAATCTGTAAGAAAACGTGGGACTGAATTCAAAGTTTAAATCTGCCATTATGCTAAAAATAGGGGTTAAGGATAAAGTACGATGACTACAGGGGTATCTGTTGAGTCTCTCCATCTTCTGAAATCTGACTTGAGACTCTACCATGTCCAAAGGAAAGCAGTAAAGCAGAGGCTCCTACAGGTGGGCTGAAAGATGGCGATGGCAGGGTGCGGAGAGCAGGGGTCTAGAAAACTAGGTTCCACAGAAACAAGAAAATTTGATTATCAGGTGTTCTTTTCTGAGATAAGGAAAATATTTAAATGACACAAAAATATATAAAGTAAACAGTCTCCAGCAGAAAGATGCAAAGAGGAATGCTATTCTGTGCTATATTAAAAAAAAAAAAAAGACAAAAAGAAAAAAGGGGACTAGGGATGTGACTCAAGCAGTAGTGCGCTCGCCTGGCATGCGTGCAGCCTGGGTTTGATCCTCAGCACCACATACAAACAAAGATGTTGTGTCCGCTGAAAACTAAAAAAATAAATATTAAAAAAAAAAATTAGAATAAGGCATAGCAAGGAAAAAAAGCTTCCTCTCACTCAGTCTCCCCCTACTAGGAATGAGCTGATTCCGTCCCCTCTGTCCTTGAGGAGCACCAGGCCTACCGTGTGGTAAGGTTATGTTTGCACCATCAATGATTGCTTGTGCCAGTTCATGATCATTGCTCTCAAAAGCGTGTGCAGCAGCCTTCAAGGCATCCCAAATTTCTTTCCGGCCTTCAAAAGCTGGTGCAGTGTCCCAAAATTCGTCCCTCTTGCTGCGCAGCTGTCCGTCTGTCATAGGATAATCGCTTTTCCATTTTGGTTTCTCCTTTTTCAAAGGCTGGTTACGACCGAGAGCAACTGGAAGAAAAATAAGACTGACATCATAACCAAAATTTAGGGGATGTTGGTATAGCTCAATGGTAGGGGTTCTATCTCCAACACTGCAAAAAACCAAAAACCAATCAACCAAACGAATAAAATTATAAAAGATACTGTTTTTCTAAGAAAACTTACCTGGTCATTCCTCTTTTGAATTCTTTCACCGAAAATCATAGTTAGGAGTTTGCCTGTTAGCTAACCTGTGTTCTGATTTTCCCCTAACTCATTTTAAAACAAGAGCAAATGGAGATAAGAGATAGCTCTATGCAAAATTTTCAGTGATAAGTTAGTAGCCCTCCTCCACTCAGCAAGTCCCTCTGAAGGATGATCAAAAAGAATTACAAGTGGAGCAAATGTAACCACTTCGATGAGAGGTGTTGATAATGAGGCTCTGTATGTGCCAAGGCAAGGAAAATATGGGAACTTTCTGTACCTTTTAATTCTGCTGTAAATTTAAACCTCGTCTAAAAAAATAAAAGTTGCATGTGATGGCACATGCCTGTAATTCCAGCTAATCTGGAGACTAAGGTGAGAAAATCAAACATTCCATGCCATCTGCAGCAATGTAGGGAGACTTCCTCAAAATACATTTTAAAAGGGGCCGAGTTTATAGCTCAGTGGTAAGAGTGTTCAATCTCAACTCTTCAGTTTAAAAATATTGCTGGGCATGGTGGCGCACGCCTGTAATCCCAGCAGCTCAGGAGGCTGAAGCAGGAGTATCAAGGGTTCAAAGCCAGCCTCAACAAAAGTGAGGCACTAGGCAACTCAGTGAGACACCGTCTCTAAATAAAATATGGGTGGGGATGTGGCTCAGTGATTCAGTGCCCGAGTTCAATCCTTGGTACCAAAGCAAAAACAAAAACCCATATACACATGTAAATATATCTTAGCCGGGGGTGGTGGTGCACACCTATAATCCAAGTAGCTTGCAAAGCTGGAGCAAGAGGATCACAAGTTCAAAGCCAGCTTCAGCATCTTAGCGAGACCTTGTCTCGAAATAAAAAATAAAAAGGGCTGTGGATATGGCTCAGTGGTTAAGTGCCCCTGGGTTCAATCTCTGGTTAAAAAAAAAAAAGGTTCAGTTTGTTCATTAAAAAAAAAAAAATCTGCCTAGAAGAATAGTAATAAGTATTTTATCCACTCTAGTGACAGGCTTGGAAAGACAAAAGGGATGCCATAACAAGGACACAGGATACGTAGGGGAAACTGAATGGCAAGAGTAGTCTGCATTTCAGGCCTCTGGCTACATAAAATCAGTAAGCAGGAACTGAGAAAATCCAAAGAGGCAAAAGAACACTTTTCAGTGTTCAGAGAAATGGCCGGATCAACAGACCCACGGAACAAGTGACTAGAGGAATACTTCCCCCAGCATTCCCCTCTCTGGACTCCAAAGAAGTGGCTATCTTTCTCCAAAACTCAAGGAAGAGCTAATCTAGAAGGGGAGGGCAGAGGGTACAATCAACACTTCACTTTTTTTTGGAGGAATTGTGAGTGCAAAGGTTGAACACCAACCACAAGGAACATAAGAGGTCACTAGGGGAGTTTCGACACTGGAAGAGAAGAACAGAAGCCACATGTCCACTCTCTCAGCATCACCTGTACTCAGAGATGTTACGCAGCAGTCCTGTCACCTGGCGCAGCTTCTCTGCACCTAGACGCTCACACAGCGTGCGACTGATGACCTACTTTCCACAGGCCACACATTTCCACAGGCTCTTCTTACCTGTGGCTCTGCAGGGTTACATGCTGCCAGTGATAGGCAGTTTGATAGATGGAAAAAATGTGAGAAGAAAATTGAAGCCTGATGAAAAGGTAAGCTGGGAAAGAGTGGGTGGGGAATAATTGACAGGGTGGGAAGGAGACAGGGGATGTGTCAAAATTCAATGTTCTATGTTTAATTGTAGGATGAACACTCATTTAAAAGAAAATACTCTTAAAATGGTTCTAAAGCATCCATGAAATGAAGCACTCCCTCGCTGACCCAGGGTACACAGAGGTATACATGACAGAAAATAAAATGACGCCAGCTCCCGAACAAGCTCTCCACACTTTGCAGGCGCTATTCCCGGAAGACGGGACCAACTGATAGGGCAAAGTGTGTTTGGTTTGATGCCTGGATTGAACCAAGCTCTCTTCATCCAATCTAGCCACTTCATCCCGAGGCAGAGCACCATGTCAGGTCTCCCCCGTCGCCCTGCCTCAGGCAGACAGACCACCCCGACTGTTTTCCAGTATTGACGCCCAATACTTTTTGGTCCTGTAACTTGTCTCAGTGAAGTGCAAGACAGGTGAGCTGTGAAGAGGTTTGGAGAGCAGAGTTGGAACACCATCCATCTAGCCCAAAGCCACAAACACAATCTGTGCCTCCTTATTTAATCAACGAGGGTATGCTGAGCGTCAAGGGCAACACTACAGATATGCCTGTTGGGTTTGTTCAAAGGTGAAACCACAAGCTATATTGATTGTCCCCTGCATTTCCAAATAACACTGACAATGCAGACAGAGCAGAATTGTCCAAGAGGTGCCAAACACAATCCAATAATTACCACTCATCCACAATTCCACCAAGGTGAATTGCAAAGGTGAAATTTCTTGTCTACTACATTATCTTTAGATAAGTTAGAAAAAGTTCATAAACATACTCTTAGTTGTGCAATAGGAAGTAGGAGCTGGGACACAGGAAGCAGGTATTCAGCCAGCTATCTATTTGAATGACATTTTAAGTCCTTCCAAGCAGTTCAGAGAATTAACTACCCTCATGCATCACAGGTACCATAGGGACAACACAACTGAGTAGAGTTTTTCTAGTTGTTCTGAGAGAATCTCAAGGTAAAGGCAAATAACAACTCCACAATGAAGACCTAAAATTCAAACAAATGAAAAAGGTCCTATGCTGGGCACAGTGGTGTGTGCCTGAAATCTTTCAAGAGGCCCCATTTAGAGAAACCCAGCAGAAAATGATTTCATGAGAAGGGTAGAAAACATTTCGTAAGAAGTAAAAGCACTTCCCTTCCATATGGGGAGGAGCTTTATTCCACCTGCCTGTCTGCAGCAGGCTTAAGAACAGTCCATGAAAAGAATACACGAGGGCTGGGGTTGTGGCTCAGCAGTAGAGCACTCACCTGGCATGTGTAAGGCCCTGGGTTCGATCCTCAGCACCATGTAAAAATAAATAAAATAAAGGCATTGTGTCCAAATACAACTGAAAAATAAATATTAAAAAAAATACACAGTCCATTAATACTACCCAGCATAGTCATCATTCCAAGTGCACACACACACATCCACGTGTGCCCAAAGCTCACATTCATTATTTTGCAAAACAAAATAGGGCCTTACAATATCAACAGAGCTCATTTTATTTATTCACATCTGCCTATAAGGTCAGTTATTAAAATGCTTACATCTTTGCAGTACAGATTATTTTAGTGAAACACTAGTGTAGAATTTTTACTACAAAATCAGAGGCTCAACCTTCATCTTCAGGAAAGTGAGTACTTTGCACGCATAAGCTATGCTCAGTCTCAGGGCTGACACACAGCAGCAGGAGTTTCTCGTTAAACTAAATGAGATACTAACAAAAATATGTTTACTGCCTATCGAACTTTTGTTAAATAACTAACTAGGGGAAAAATATGCATTGAATTCCTTCTATAAACTGGAACAATACAGGGATGCACTCTTCCACTCAACACAGTCCTGGAAACTCTAGCCAAAGCAATTAGACAAAAGTAAGAAATTAAAGGGATACAAAAGGAAAAGAAGAACTCAAACTATCACTATTCGCTGACAACATGATTCTATATTTAGAAGACCCAAAAAAATCCACTAGAAAACCTCTGGAATTCATAAATAAATTCAGCAAAGTAGCAGGGTATAAAATTAACACCCATAAATCAATTGCATTCCTATACACCAGTAATGAATCTTACTGAAAGAGAAATTAGGGAAACTATCTCATTCACAATAGCCACCCCCCCCCCAAATAAAATATTTGTGACTCAATCTAACAAAAGAGGTGAAAGACCTCTACAGTGAAAACTACAGAACACTAATGAAAGAAATGGAAGAAGACCCTACAAGATGGAAAGATCTCCCATGTTCTTGGATAGGCAGAATTAATATTGTCAAAATGGTCATACTACCAAAAGTACTAAATAGATTTAATGCAATTCATATTAAAATCCCAATGACATTCTTTCATGGAGATAGAAAAAGCAGTTGTGAAATCCATTTGGAAAAATAAGAGCCCAGAATAGCCCAAGCAATCCTCAGCAAGAAAAGTGAAGGAAGCATGACAATACTAGACCTTAAGCTATACCACAAAGAAATAGTAACCAAAAAAGCATGGTATTGGCACCAAAACAGACCTGAAGACCAGTGGTACAGATGAGAAGACACAGAGACAAACCCACATAAATACAGTTCTCTCATACAGACAAAGGAGCCATAAACATACATTGGAGAAAAGATAGATTCTTCAACAGATGGTGCTGAGAAGACTGGAAATCCTTATGTGATAAAGTGAAATTAAACCCGTATCTCTCACCCTGCACAAAACTCAACTCAAAGTGGATCGAGAACCTAGGCATTAGACCAGAGACCCTGTGTCTACTAGAAAGAAAAGGAGGCCCACCTCTGCATCATGTCAGCTTAGAAACCAAACTCCTCAACAAGACTCATAAAACCAAGAACCAACAAATGGGATTGCATCAAACAATCTTCTTCACAGCAAAGGAAATAATCAAGAACATGAAGAAAGAGCCTACAAAATAGGAGAAAATCTTTGCCACCTGCACCCGAGAGACAGCATTAATCTCCAACATATATAAAGAACTCAAAAAACTTAAAGAAAAAAACCCCAATGGGCTAAAGAACTGAACAGACATTTCACAGAAGAAGTAATACAATCAGTCAACAAATATATGAAAAAAATGTTCAACATCTCTAGCAATTAGAGAGATACAAATTAAAACTACACTGAGATTTCATCTCATTCCATCCAGTCAGAATGGCAAATCAAGAATACAAGCAACAATAAATGTTAGTGAGGATGTGGGGGGAAAGGTACAATCATACCTTGCTGATGGGACTACAAATTGGTGCAACCACTCTGGAAAGTAGTATGGAGTTCCTCAGAAAACTTGGAATGGAACCACCATTTGACCCAGTTATCCCACTCCTCGGCATATACCCAAAGGACTTAAAACCAGCGTACTACAGAGACACAGCCATATCAATATTTATAGCAGCTCAATTCACAATAGTTAAGCTATGGAATCAACCTATGTACCCTTCAACAGATGAATGGATAAAGGAAAATGTGGTATATATATACAATGGAATATTACTCAGACATAAAGAAGAATGAAATTATGACATTTGCTGGTAAATGGATAGAACTGGAGATAACTGAAATAAGCCAATCCCAAAAAAACCAAGGGATGAAAGTTCTCTCTGATATACAGATGTTGACTCACAACAGGTGTGTGTGTGTGTGGGGGGGCTCACCAGATCGGACAGGGCAGAGTGGGGAGAAGGGAGGTGGGATGGGAATAAGAAAGACAGTAGAATGAATCAGACATAACTTTCTTGT